CCCGGGGCCTTATTAATTTATATATATATATTATATATTATTATATATATATATATATATATATAATATATTATATATATATATATATAATTATATATATATTATATTATTATTATATATATATATTATTTGTATACATATCTGTAAATGTATTTTATTTTTCGTATTTGGGATTTCTCTTTTGTCCACTCAAATACACTTGGCCTTTCTTTTTCCATGTGGAAAATGGCGCTGGCGTATTTCTTGCTTTTCTCGTCTGGCTCCCTGTCTGCTCATCTACAATGAGCAATTATTATATTAATTACTAATAATCATTTAAACCTGTTATACCAATATTTCACAAATTCTTCATGTAAACTTACGAGGCTACAGCTGTTGTTGAGTGTCAACTTTTGCTTGGTTCATCTTACTGGGGGACACCTACATGGATGTCGGAGCAGAAATGAATTTATTATTGACTCAGAATGAAGCACAACTTCATGTCCATACATACATTGCATTTATTTGTAATTGTGTGTAAAAAAATATGAATATTGATTAGCCAGCAGGACCTGCAGGAACAGAGAATGGTGGATGGATGGAGCTGGCGAGGAAAAAGAATAAAGAAAACAGATCACTTTATTTAATCGGGATATTAAATTCATCAAAACAAGTTGCCGCTTCCTTCCTACAGTTCTCTCGATGTAAGATGGATTCCAATGACCAACTGCAAAATATCCAACACTCAATACATGTAGTAGTCTCTGGGGGGTGCATTGTGCTTTCGATGATATATAAATAATATACCATACCAATACTATTACGTACAGTGGAAATCAGGTTGCCAGAGCAGGTCATCCAGTGTGCATTTCCCTCATGTCTCAGGCAGTTACAGGTGAGGCAAAAGAAAATAAAAGGAGAAAAAGTCGTAACAACCACTGGAATAATTATCTCTTTAATCTTTTTCTCTCAGTAATCAATCAATACTGTCTTTCCAACAAACAGATTGACTCACTCTCACTATCATCACAATGGAAACACGTCCGAAGAATGTCATGCAAGCTGCCTTGCCTTCCTTCCTTCGACTCTCACCTGAAACTGCCTGATTTTTAATGTTCAATGTTAACCTTTGTGCAGATGCATTAAGTGAAATATGCTAATGTTGGCGTTAGCCTACTCCCGCCCCTAGCACCTGGTGGAGGGAGCGATAGGCTACTTCTTCAATGTTTCACAAAATACTGGTACCACATGACTTACTCTTACTGTTTTAACGTTGGTTATTCATGTCAGGCTTAATACAATGACAAGGCTAAGTAATGTAATGTACTACATGCTCGCTACTAGCTAGGTAGGCTAACTTGGACTATGTTCCATACCAAAACATGATATACCTGATAATGTTTGGGTCCAACGACTCCTGGTCCTTTCATTAGACGGGAAGCGACTAGAACGAGCAAGTGGGTATGATCACTTTTGTGCTTACAACCTGGTACAAGCACCAGGCATCTTTGTAAAAGTTGACTTTATTGATCCAATTCTTATAATTTATTTGGAGGGATAATCAGTCTTACTTCTTTTTGCTTTGCGAAAGGTCGAAACAAAACCAAGTCTAATACTATACATCTTCTTCTTTTCTTTTAATGGCGAATCGCTTCACTTGGAGCTATTATCGCCACCTACGTGGTATCGTCGCAACGCAGTCTTGGGAGCATTTATCGCCTATGACATTCACTTACAAAGCGGAAAACCCAGAAATGCATATGAGAAACATAAATGATAAAACGTAATATACTCAAATAGTAATCAGTATAATCTTAAATATAGATCTAATAATATTTCAACAATATAATAAACGACAACAACTAGATAGACAATAAAAATATTAAAAATATATACCATGGAATATTGTTTAAGATTGACAAACATCATATTGTCATTCGGTTGGCCACAATTCAACGGGATCAAAAGATAACCTTTTCTCTCTCCATTGGACGTCAAGTATAATTTTTCCGCTTCCGGGGTCCCCATGGAGCGCTCCCGGAAGGGGAGGGACTTCGCCTCTCCTATTCTCTTCATTCGGTCTGTCAATGTCTTTGTTAAATGTCAACGACGGATGTGTAAATAAGAAACTCAACAGCCTGATGGCAACCGAAATCCCTTTCTCATTCTCAGATAGAAGATTATGGATTGGAGACGACCAGCCAATTCACAATTGACCTTCTCCGGATTGGTTGGTTTGTGGGGCACATTTGTAACGCTGGTGACAACTTGAGCGAGCACAGGCAAAGCTGAGCGCGCACAGGGTGGAAGTCGGAGCGAGCGGGGGGAGAGAGAGGCGTTTGCAGCGGTCTGCTTGCGCACGGAGCAGGAGTTTTATGAAAGAAAATATATTTCTCTGTGCTCAAAAATGTTCAAGTGTGCGCTCAATCGCATTTTCTATGCTCAACATGTTTCATTGGGTGCTGAGAGAGAGAGAGAGAGAGAGAGCCAATCACAGTGCTGGTCAAAAGAAGAGGGAATGCTGAGCTGCCACCTGCTCAGTGGTCATTATTAGAAGGGGACAATGGTGATATTTCAGAGGAACAGATGGAGGGTCGGATCAATGCTTTTAATGCATCACACAAATGCATTGAACCATAGCCATTAAATACAGTCAGAGTAAAAGACTCACCACATTGTAGGGTACAAATTACTGGACGGATTACCAGCAACATAATAAAACATCAGCGTGAAATATGTCTGGAGTGTTTACTTATTGGAAGTTATGGAACTGCAACTGGATATGTGCGTTTATTGAAAGTGTTATGCCTTAACTTTTTCACCAGAAATGACCAAGAATTATAAATTATATTTAGTTATGATACCACCTCCTTCCTTCTCAACCTCTGTCTCTTGAGGGCAGAGGTCTTGATCATGTGTCCCTTGAGGGGGATCAGTGGGTCACTTTCCTCCTCGTTCCCACACTCTTGTCTGTTCCCTGTGTCTCATTGTGTGAGGCCAGGTGTGTGGCAAAATAACCCCACTGTGTTTGTTGACCACTGCATTTAAAAATGGTTATAAATCAATTACAGTTGTACGTAATGAAAAGACAATTATATTACATTTCTGTTTATTGTACAGGTTTGTGTTTAATCCTGGCGGGATGGTTAAGCATTGTATCAGTGCAAATCCAAAAAAGGATACCGTAAGCTACTTCCCCTTTAGGATTTTTAACATTTTGCTTCTTCATTTGATTTGGTGACGTTTAAATGCATTGATCATTAGTAACCTCTCTGTTTTTAACTTAAAGTTTGCTAATATTATTATTAATTTGTTTTACATACAGCATCTATTCGAACCTTTGTGACACATGATTAAAAAAAAGTTAAAACGCCAATGACTTATGTAATGGTTAATAAATCAATTACCAATGTGTGCTGATATACTGTAACTGGTGTTGGTTCACACTGTTAGACTTACTGACATACTGCTCATGAATAATTTGGCCTTTACTGTTCATATCTAAACATTAGGACCTACCTAATGTCACAAATGTTTTATTAACCTATTAATCAAAACAAAAAAACACAATGTCATAGCTAATTAAAATCTCTTTATTACAATCACATGTACATCATCATATTCCAAAAAGCTTGCTGTTGTGAAAAGTACCCTTGCACAGACAGATGGAGGTGGTGTTGCAGGCTGGATGGAAGGATTGT